AGAGAGGACATTGCAGACATCGTTGGTGTTAAACCCACATTCATATTTTTTAGAATGTACGATATACGATAATCGGCGTGTTTGCAGAGGCCCAGCGCACGCTCGTACGCATTCAAGTGCGTGCGTGTCTTCGAGTATGTACATACATCATAGGACGCGACAATTTTCATCGGCGTGTCGCGATAATATGTCAATTACGTCGTGCTACACGTGACAATTGACGCAACGCTGACGCAGCCGCGTGTATTTCGCGTGGCCACGACATCGGGAGTCGGCGGGATCTGTTTGAAGTCACGATCGACACGCATGCCGCACATTTCCGCGTTTTTTGTCGAATTGCTCGCGTTTCTCCGAGGGGAGCTTGACAAACCGTGCCGCGATCAAGGTAATCGCGCGGTTGATAATGCGGGCGCTGTGCAAACAGGAACAGGACTCGCGCGTCATAGGCGCGATATGGCTCATTAAAAAGTTCTGGTGATTACACGAATGAAAAGAGAGAGAGAGAGAGAGAGAGAGAGAGAGAGAGAGAGAGGAGTAGCCCGTAGAGAATCTATTCATCGGAATACGATTCGAGCGGTAATGTCATAGCCTACCGGAAGAAATAACGGAAGAAATCCGGTTTTCAAAATTATACGATAGTTTTATCAGCGGGCGGCACAATTTCTTCGGTTTTTAGGACATGATTTTTTCCTATTCTAACTAAATTTTTCTGACAAATATAAACAAATATAAACAAAAATTACAAGAGAATCAAATATGAAAAATTTTCTCATTTAAACATTTCCTTATTTGAATCTTCATAGATCTTATATTGTTGTATCAAAAATTTTTATTTTACAGATATTTTATTTGATAGATATAATAAACATTAATATAAATTTAAATTAATATAAATTAATATAATTTTTTAAATTAATATAAATTAAAAAGAATATAATTTATTAATTTAACATTACGTTAATAAAATTAAATTAATGGATGTTTATGATATCTGGCAAAATTCTATAAGTATTTATACAGTTTCTTCACTTTTTATCATATTATGCCTCATGTAGCTCCAAGGCTTGCGACTATTGTGTTCTGACGTAAATGGTAATTAAAATACCAGTCGCTGCGGAAAAATGTAGTATTGCTAGAGTCTCGTTTTATATATATAAGAATAAATTTTCGTTTTTAATACATAATTTTATATATATAGTTTAATTTATGGATATTACTATAATATAATTTATGAATTAATGCAAACATTAATGTTAAATCGAGCAGACCAGATTTGCACAACAATATTAATTGATCAATCGCTATTTGGATTTTGAAGGCACTTTTGCGATGAAAAATGGATATTTATATTTTATTTTCCTAGGACGGATCCGGAGTCAGATGAATATTTCGATGAACTCTTTAATATTTTCCTTTTGAGAGAACAACCTGTCAGGTATGTTCTGTTGTTGCATAAATAATTTAAGATTATTTTAATCTACTAATTTTCGCAAAGTAACATCGTTACTACAAGATTTTATTAATTTCATGTGTTTGGCGTAAGTCGTAATATCGCCGATTAAAAAAAATTATCAACTAAGTTGAAATTTGTTTTCAATTAATTTTTCATTTTTTAGGCTTTCCTATCGTATTTGCATGTTACATAATACTTCACACATTTAAACATAACGATGCTAGAATTGATAAACGCTTCTTAAAACTTTGCAAATGAAGATTAACGATACTATTGTTCATCATATGATAATCATGATGACAAAATAACGGCTAGATTTAAAGCTGGATTTTATTCATGCTCCTAAACTCCATCCTTTGTTGCATAATATAAATGCGCAAAATCCGGATTGCGGGAAAATTATGTTTATTAATGTTAATTAATGTTAAATATCCGCTTTAACGGAATGAGATATTTCTATTTTTACAGAGAGAAACGGGAACCTACGCCGGGAGAAGGAGTTGGAAACAATGGAATACAAATGGTTCAGTATGCTGTGCCAGAAAGAGGTACTCTGAAATCATTGTCAGCTCAGCCACCAAGTCCGAATGATTCCCTATCGCGAAGTCCAAGGTATAGAAATTTACCCAATATAATAAACATCATCCAATTTAGAGCTTAATCTATAATGTGCTTTTTGCTTTCTGTTTCTTACTCTTTATCTCTTAACTTTTTTCCGTTCTTACAGTCGTTTTACTGACGATCATGTTTCTTGTCATGTATTTTTTGTCTTTTCCGAAGTTTATCGTCAACGTTTATCTCGGGCGATAGAAACGAAGAAACAGGTTTAGAGACAAAAAAGCAAAGATAAAAAATGGTAAAAAACAAGAAACAGAAAATAAAGAGCGCATTATATAGATTAGGCTTAATTCTTTACAAAAAAAGCTTAATTGCAGATGAAAAATCTTGTTTGTTAGAAAATTGTCGCGAATCGCGAATTTTTCATTGAAATGGATGAAAAATACAAATAAGGGCCAGAGGAGAAGGGAGGAGGGAAGGAGGGACACATTATCGTGCATCTTTTTACAACGAAATCCAAATGTGATACCGGTTTCGATTTCTAGAAATCTATAAGCGTGAATAACATTCGATGAATATTCAAATCATTTTTTTTCCATCGGAACCTCTTTCTCGAGATCTTGTTTCAGATAAAATAAAATCATTAAAGATTATCTCGTTTATTACGTAGCTGGCATAGAGCAGGACATCATTTCTTAGGAAGAGAACACTCTATGTATGCGCGCAACTTGCAAGCAGATTCATTAATCAAAATGAACGTACTTTACTACTGTACAGTAATTATTTCCAATAAAATACACTTCAATGCAATCGCATTGCGAATCTATTACGTGGAAGTCGTAAAAAGTCATTCGTATGATCGAATGAATTTTTCTTTACTTTTTACAAGAATTGAAATTACGCAAGAGAGCATATAATTGCAAACATAGTAGCTATTGTTTATATAGAACACTTTTGATTATTGAATTGATGACGACAAAGTTTTAAAAGACTTTTAAAAAATCTAAACAATATAAAAAAATCGACATCATTAAAAATTAAAAGAATTTGAAAGATTTAATAAGTTAAAAGAACTTTTTATTCTTACTTTTTTATTAGTGTCTCTTAAATCTGTGCTACACTAAGCAATATTTGAAGATTAAAGATTACAAATTGGAGATTAAAATTCAACCAATCAGAAGAACAGATTAAAATTAAAATTATCTGATTAACTGTTCGAATTCTAATCTTCAATTTGCAATCTCCATATGCATAGTATGTGACATAGACATAAAAGATATCAGTAAGTAAAAAGCTCTTTCAACTTCTATGAACACGTCATAATATGACGCAAGCTTTACACATTTCTCTGTATTCCAAGCGATGGTTCAGTATGACAGTTTTAAATATTAACTATATAACTGTGACAGTTTTAAATATTAATTATATAACTAATATTAACTAATAGTGTTTTCGAGTGCAATGAGTTTGAATCTAATCCAGATCGGTTAACCCGAAAATACGACCTCGTTCAATCAAAAACCAAAGAGCATGACGTTAATAATTCGATCTGGATTTAATTCGAAACCATTGCACTCGAAAATACTATAATATTTTCAATATAATATTTCTAATATTACTTTTAAGAATCTCTGGTGAACGTTGCAATCCATATATTCGTCCAAATCCGCCGCCCTACGCCGGACCAAGCAACTTGTAAGTATTTCCGATCGCGACTTTTACATACGTTCTAGATTCATGTATTACATATCCGTTTTGTTTCGTGTTCGCAGTGCCGGTTTACGCGCCGATTTCTGACTACACGAGCAGCCCGCGAAAACCTGGTTCTGCTAAGTGAAATATAATTCGCGGGTGGCTTTCAACGACGATCCGAGAAAGGTATGAGCCGAGTATTGCAAACTCATCGAAACCAGCTCCAAATTTGCAAGTTGAATCACATCAAATACGCACGTCGCTTATTATCGGTAACCATAAACACGTATTGCGTCACGCCTTCCAAGCAATATATCAGCGGTTTGTTACGATACATTAAGTGTTCCCTCTGGGAAGTCGATTTACGTTAAAAAAATTTTTCGGAATTTTATTTTAATAGAATAGAATAAAATAATAAATAGAATAGAGAGAGATGCGTTACGATTATACTTATAGGAGAGCATTTTTTTCGAAAAGCATTGTGTCCAATAACTTATACTTGTAACAATAAAATGAATATTGTTATGTAAAATGAATAACATACGAGAGTATTATGTATAGAGTATTATACTTTATAATAACTGTAGTGAAGTTCATATCGATGAAATAAATGTGTAACACTATAGAAACATTGTGCTTTAACATTTGCTCTCATATTGACAATAGGCAATCGAAAGTGGAATTATTTATTTCGTTAACAATGTATAACAATATATTCTATGAAAAAATCACTTTTGTAAGTATTCTGTTCTAAAAATTGTACTTCATAACGATTTTAGTGAAGATTGTATTAAAGAAATAAATGTGTAATACTAGAAACATTGTGCTTTAATATTTGTTGCAAAATTTGTATTGAAAAAAATAAATGACTAAAAACGTTGTGCTTTAATATTTGCTCTCATATTAATAATAGAAAATAAAAAATGGTATTAATTCTTTTGTTAATAATATATAAGTTCATTCATTTCATAAAAAATAAATTGTGTTTTGTCTTATCGGCTCTAAAGAAAAATGAGTAATTAAAGAAAAAACATTTTTCACTTGAAAGAAAAAACATTATTCGGCGAAAAAAAGAACATTTATCGTTTGTTAAAACAGTCATTAAAAAAATCATCTTGACGCACGTACATACCTCAATTATTGTGTCCAATTACTTACCTTGTGATAAAATAAATATTGTGTAACATACTTTAAATTGTACTACTAATTGTACTAATTATTGTAGCAAAATTTGTATTAAAGAAATAAGTTACTAAAAATGTTGTTTGTTTTAATATTTGTTCTCATATTAACAATATATTTCATAAAAAATAAATAGCGTTTTGTTCTTATCGGCTCCAAAGAGAACTAAAGTTCACTTGAAAGAAAAATGTTATTCGATGAAACTAAGAATTGTTTATCGTTCGCTAAAATGGTTATTAAAATCGTCTTGATATACCTCGTAGTAATCGTTAATCTTCTACCGGACACCATGTTTGGAAAAAACAAATTGGTTGCGAAAGGTTTGCGGAGTAGAACAGGAATTTGAAGTGAGAATGAAATATGAAAGTGTGGATCTGTAAAGGATACAAAAGCATGGATGAGAGATTTTTTTCGCTCATGGCTTAAGCGGATGATCGAAAGCTAACCTTTCACTTTCCAACGAAGGATTCTTCTATTCTTTAAGGCGTACAGTCGGGAGAGACGCGAGATTCAAATTTCGATGTGGCACTGGCGCACCCGGCGTTTGTTTACGTTCTCAACCTGATCCAACCCAACTTGACTTGACGCTGGACAGGGACGCGCATGCGTCGCGCGTCCACGCTTACCCAGCTATTCAACAGGAGCGCTCAACGGAGTCGCGTGACGTGTGTGTAGATTGTATTGTGATCATTGGCGTTTCGTGATCGTGGCGAGAGATTCGGCAGTTACAAGACGAGACGAGGTCGCGTGTCGAGGAGGCAGAATTCATCGCACACGCGAGAACGCGAGTTCGACGAATCTCAAACCGCGCCCTATGAGTCATGGCTGGTATTGTACCACTGTCTGGTAGATCCGGCAGAAAACAGTGGACGCTTCACGGTAATCATCGCCGGGATGGCTCGGGGGAACGCACCCGGGGATCGCCTAGACGAGAACGTGTCCGACTTCACGTTTCGAGACACGCATGTGATTCATAATAAAAACGGCGCGATATTCGACGCGTTTCAATACTTGTCTCTTGAACAGACAAGTGTGAATCGTCGAACAATGAAAATTAATCTCTGACAGATCTCCATTTCGCATTGCGAAATTAAATGAATCGCGGAATTAAACGATTTGCTAATTAGTCTTGTTAAAAATTGTTTTTATTTTAATGCAGTATCAATAAAGATATGTCATTAATTGCCTATTGATATGTAATTATTTATATATATTACATCGACAAAAATTGTTTATTTAACTAAATTGTTTATTTAATTAAATTAATTTAGATCATCTTTTTATTTCTTTCGTTGGAGGATGTATGTATTTAAGTAAGAATAAAATTTTGAAAATAAATAAATAAAATATGTATTGAAATAGAATAATACAACAAACAATACATGAAGTTATCATGAAGCAATATATATACATGAAGTTGATATATTTCATATATGTATATATATTTGAGACATCATCTGACAGTATAATACATATATGTTATATACATATATGTATTGACACAATGAACATGAATTCTGATTAGTTTTTTTTTCTGCTTAAATAGCTAATTCTAAGTCCTATTGATAGATGGGCCTAAAGGTTCTCTTAGACGTTTACGTTCTCGATTGGCAGAAGACGGCTGTCCAGAATCTCAAGTAATTTTGGCTAAACAGTTGTTAGAGGAACAATGTGGTATGTCGAAATATATGCTAGCAAAGTTTTTCTCATGTTATCCATTATTTCTTGACATACATATATAATTTATATCTATAATTTTCTGATAATTGAATTTTAATTTAATTTAATTTATATAATGTCCCTCTGTATGTAATTTATAACTATATTTATAATTATATTTTAAGAGCTTGATGTTGATAAAGAGGAAAATGCAAAATTGGGTGTTTACTGGCTGACAAAGGCCTCGGAGCAAGGAAATTTAGAGGCGACTGATATTCTCAGAAAGTGCTTGGCAACTGGCCGTGGTATCACGGAGCATAACTATTACGACGTAAAAAGTTGTTTAGACATGACACAGGATGAGAAGTTGGCTAGAAGAGCGGCGAGGGAGATGTTTATGAGGTAAAGAACAAGTAATTGAACATTAAGACTAATAAATAAATATCACATGCTGTATATATGAATGTAAAATTGTTATTTCATCAGTTTATCAAACGGTGAGGACTTCATAACTACCGAGCAACTACAAAAACGTATGAGAAATTTATCGTCCCCATCAACCAGTAACGCTGATTATTTTCAATCGAACAATACTTCCAGCAATACATCGCAAAAGGGATTAAGCGACAACGATTGCTTCCTCAGAAATGGGTTTCCTGATGATTCCCCACTTACGAAGGATGAAGATCGAACAAACGATGTTCATGGTAAAAGAGAATTTCAATATATTAAACTAAACTGCTTTATATATTATAAACTAGACTAACAAGTCAAATAAAATAGAGACGGATCAAATACAAGTTCGAAGCTAGATTTTGAATAATATTTATATGTAAATAATAATATTTATATGTAAATTTTAAATATACACATCTTATATAAATTGTGTGCCGATTAGTTCTGTCAAACTTCAAACGCAATCTTAAACTTATTGCGAAAAATATTATCCTGACTAATAGTCTTTGCAGTGTTTTAAGGAGCTTATTATTAAACTGATTAATTTGTGAAATTGTTATTTTAGCTTCAGTTTATGATTTTTAAATTTGTAATTGGCGTATAGTTTATATAACTAAAAGATGTATTTAAAATTTACATATAATATAAATATTATTAGATATTAAAATTTAATCTTGATCATATTTTATTCTTATTTGAGATTTTCACATTTTTGATCACTTTTTTTATTAAGTTTTTAATGTAAGTTTATTCTGCAATCACAGGTTGGACGGATCAAGGTGAAAAGATCACAGAGGCTGCTCTAGTATCTGCGGCTGCAAGCTACGCACGCGGAATGCTTCCAATAGTGTCACATGCTCTCTGCATGGTGGATCCTTCCGAATTGGTGCTGGATACGATACCGCTGCTGCAGAGGCCATTTGTTCATCCGTTTGCATCGCTAAAACGTCTCTATAGTTGGTTGGTCGAGACTTTGGGTCACAGAGGAACGTCGATCAACAGAGTTCTCTTTACGTCAAATCTACATATTCTTTTATTACTGTTACTATACTCCTTGTTTGGCACAGAAAGTTTAATACTTTTTATACCGATGGCTCTCTACTATCTCTCATTTGTAGTCATGGTGGTAGCCACCTTCCAAATGCTTCAACGGAAACGCGAATTTAATGATTTCCGCGTGTGGTCTGGCCTATTTCTTAGTTACTCAGGCGGAAATCTGAATCCTGAGGAGGCAGAGTATCAATTCTGCCGCAACAACTTGAAACCGTATGGACATTTCTTTCTTGCGTTGCTATTAAACTTGATGATCTATCCTCTGATAGCCCACCAATGGACTCCACAATCTGAAATCACTATAGTAGCAGTTACGCTCACTCTTATCACACTGTGTAGTTTCATGTGGAGAGACTCTTCGCGGTTTCCCGATTTTTTAGCTCTCTTCAGTTTCGGCGTACATGTACTTGCTAAGTATCCTTATGAGACGGACATGGTTGTGGCGCAAAGCTGGAGATTCTTGGACATCAGAGTGCCAACATTCGCATCTTACGTTGTCGGCAATGGTATAGAGTTTTGTCTAAATTTCCGCGCCGTATTTTACCTCTTGATACCGGCGGTGTTCGCGAAAATGGCTGCGAGGGATGGCTGGCGCGGCACATATCGGATTTTAATACCTCATTGCGTTACTCTGAGTTGGTGGCAAATAGCAATCTTTAGTTCTCAAGGTGCAACATGGTATGGCTTAATAAGAGGCGCTCTCGCATTAGTTGGCATGGTTCTATTTCTTCCAATTGCCGGTATTGCTTCCATCATTTTACCAATCGTAGCTATTGCCAAATACTTGTCAGAAAATGATCTGGTCATGAGGATAGCGATTACTACTGTACTCGGAGGAATGCCATTTTTTGCTTCATGGTATTTGAGGAAAACCAGAACATCAAGATTTAATTGGATCGTTACGCTCATGCAAGTACGTATATTATCATTTCTTCGTCTTCAATTTAGATATACTTTATACATATATTTACAATGTATATGTATGTCTTACTTGTACATCAAATTATATAAATGTTTTCTATAGATTGTTCTTGGCGTTAGCGCTGCGACATTTTTATCGTGGCCGATGATAATGGAATATAATCAGGATTCCGATGAGGCGTAT